AAGAGCTTAATTTTTAACAACAGAAAGTCTCCCAAGGCGGTAAATATTATCAAGTCGCCTGCTTAATATTTCAAACTGTAGCCTATTCTCTGAGGGCTGCAGCAGTGCGTGTAAACAACTTCAACCTTTCATGTTAGAGTCTCTGGTTACTGATACTGTAGGGGGAAACACAATCACTAATCAAGCTGTTAAAAATTACACTCATTTTCACTTTCTTTGATCGGAGAGCTTTAGTGCAAGTATTTTTTGTTTGTTTGTTTTTTTGGTGTTTTCTTTCACTAGAAGTCGACCTTACCCTCAACTTATGCCTGTTTACCAAATGACTGTGAATTACGCACAGGATTAAATAAGCCTAAACACTGTATAAAGAATACTAGAGAAAGTACTTAACACTAAAGCTCTGAGAATGAGCTGGGCACTTTCTCTGACAGGTAACGCAGCTTTTTGAAAGTAGGTTATGGGAACTCAAAATCTACATCTGGCGTGGAAATGATGGAACATTTTGTGGATGTGTTTTTTAATTAGCCTGAAGAGAAATACTTTTCCTTTCCTGCAGCTTTAAGAGCTTAGCGGTGACATTACACCTACCTCCTCTTTTCCTTGCACTTCCCACTTCCTAGTGGGGGCTTTAATCCAAATTGGCTCTGACGCCTCTGTGATATCCTCGCTTTCCTCTGACAGATTGGCTAGTTCACTCGGCCGCAGAGAGAAAATGAAACGCGCTGAGTGGCCCTGGAGCTGCTGGTGAATTATTCATGCCATGCACGTGTTCCCACTTGGCTTAATTACTGAGATCATTAGTGCTCCCAAATAGCAGGGACATCCTAACCCCCCCACTACCTCAACAAATCCTCTGTAGCCCATTGCAAACATTATAGCATTAATAAATTTAGACTCAACAAGCTTGAAGTTGCGTTGCATTAATGTAAGTCGAGAATTGTTGAGCAAAAACTCAAAAAAGACCTTGTATACTTTATGGTTCTCCTCAATCATTCTAGAAATGATGGAAATCTTGCCCACATTTTGCTGCTCGCTAAGAGTTTGTAGTATGGTTTCGGCTGTGGCTCAGGAAGTCGGCGGTTCAATCCCTGGCACCTCCAGGCTACATGTTGAAGTGTCCTTGGGCAAGATACTGAACCCCAAATTCTGCCAGTTTGTGAATGTTAGTTTCTGTTTAAGCACTTAGGCTCAGTGTGTGAATGTGGGTGAATGCAAATGTAGTGTAAAAAGCACTTTGAGTGGTTGAAAAGACAAGAAAGGCGGAGCATTTACATTTGTACATAAAGGAGTGTAGGAGTGTAAGTAATGGATTAAACAATGTGTTTATCTGCTCTAAAGTAGGCTGCAAGTAGCATGTCTAGCTAACTAGCTTACTACCTGTAGCTACAACAAAGCTAAGCAAAGAGCAAGTTCAATTTGTGGGGTTATTGGTTACGTTACAAAAGAGTGATGTCTTTTGTTTTTAATCTTACCAAAAACAAAAACACAAGAGCAAATTTAAAAGGTATTGCTTAAGCAAAGTGTGTTTGTCTTCTATAGTGTAAACTGCAATCGTTAGCATGACTGGCTAAATAGCATACGGTAGTTACCTAGAATTATATTCAGAACCAACAAGCATATCATTAGCTAACTGCAGAAATAAGAAAAATCCTATTTTCAGGACAGGTACTAGATGCTATGCCAGTTTATGGTAACATTAACAGTTCTCCTGCTCTATATTTTGTTTTGGGAGTGTAAAAAATAGCCAAACCCCTCAGTCCACAGTCTTAAAACTTTTTCATCGAAAAACAACACATCAAAACGAGGTTCATTTTTATTTATATTTATAATACTGTATTTTCATTCTAAGGCTTACGAGCTTTACTCTGCAAGATCAGAACAACAGATCCTTTTTTGCATGTCTTTACGTGAATCCATCAGGTGAAGAAATGCTAACTTGTAGCCTCTCAATTTCAAAATCTCAAACTGGGATGCTGAAGTCTGTCTTTCCATATGCCGACCTGCCGGCCATGGCACTGTTGTCTTTACCAAGCAGGAAGTAGCCGCAAGCAGTGTAGAAATAAAACAGCCTCTAATTTCATGGCAAGTTTTGACCTGGTTTTGAAGACTGAGCTCTGCAGGCTCTCGAACAGTCACTGCGGAAAAACGCCTCCAGACAATCAAGTGCTTTTCATTTCATCTGCTCTGTCACTGAATGCACGCTGACCGTTAACTGGGTGAGGCGCGGCAGCTCCCTCAATGTCCATCACTGTATAACAGAGAGGAAAAAGGAGAAAACTGAGAGAGAAGAGAAAATGAGCTCAATTTAGGATAACTGGAAGGGCAGGTGTGAGTGACCTGGCTGATCTGTAATGAAACCACCAGAGCCAGACTTGAGTGTGATTGGCAGCATCTTAAAACGATGGGCACGACTTAGTGGTCCAAGTGAAATGGAGCTCACTGATTCCAGACTCAGAAATAGTCTTAGTCTAAAATGAGGCTGACCTGGATCCTAACACATCAGGAGGCAAGGGTATGAATTGTGTGCTTTTGTTTTTATGGTTTTGGTTTTGAATTAAACTTACATTTTAAAGTTTGATTATTACATCTTTGCTTCCAGTCTAAGAAAATGCCTTCATTCACGTTTGTACCCTCTCAGGTAAAATAGGAATAGTTTGACATTTTGGGTGGATGTGCTTTTTCGCCAAAAGTTAGATGTTAGAAGAGCGATACCAATCTCATTTCTGTGTGGTAAATATGAAGCTACACAACAGCCAACTAGCCTAGGTTAGCATAAAAACTGTAACAGGGACAAAGTGCTAGCCTGGTTCAAATTAGCACATAATATTTCAGTTTATGTGGATTGTGTCAACTTGTTAATCCATGCAAATAAAGTTAAAAAAACAACAAGTTGTGATATTACAAAAGTCTCTGAGCCTGGCTAAGAAATAGTCCTGCACATAACCCTCCCCATCAAACTGCAACTTGTCGTTTATACACTTCTGTTTTTCTACAGATTATGGAAATAACATAACTAGCTTGGCTCCCTCTGTCTCCAGTCTTTCTGCTATGCTAAGCTAACTATACCTGGATTTCGGGAAAACGTTTGGTAACATGTAAATAGATCCACTTATCCACCACAGAATTTTCAACACTATTAATGAATGTAGACCATGAAATGTTGTTGAGAGCTCGAAGGGAGACCTTTGTTACATACTGTTTCCAAAGGTTGAGAACTTTGAGCTTCCATGCTCAAACTTTGGTAATCAATTAATGGTTTAATCTATTTCAGCTAACCTGGGAAGCTTTTGCTCATTCCTGTGTCATAAATGGAAGAATTTGCTGTTATATATATCATTGTAATTTCAATAGCTTTTAGATGGTTGGACAGCAATTCAAAGACATCACCTTGGGCTCTGTGAACTTTTCATTAGATTTTTTTACATTATATAGACTACCTGATTTGATAACACATTATTAGCTCTGAAATCCATCTCTTCAAAGGCCTTTTTGTTCTCAAAATTCTGTCAATAGGTTTTTGAGATCCTTGTGACAAACAATCAAACTAACATGGGAGAAAACATACGACTCTTTCATGCTCTCAAGTCTCTTGAGATGTTGAAATATGAGTCCCAAGTTAACAAAGAGGAAGTTTCTTGAAGTCCTACACAATACAGAAAAGTTTACATTTCAGTCTTTGCTCAGCTGTTACCGGCTCAGACTGTCCCTTGGTGCAGTAGACTCATTTTAGCGGCAGCTGTCATGGTTTCCCAAACGTTGAGGTCAAAGGTCAGCTGCTGGCCCCCACAGACAGTTTCCCACTTGAACGGCTAACGTCAGATGCCAGAAGCTGGGCTGATACAGAGTTGTTTTCAGTGTTTTCCACTGTATCAGCTAGTTCCAGATTTTATTGCTCTCTTCCAGAGTTGAAGTAATTTTTTTTCTTTTTCACATAACGCCTAACACCGTCTATTCCTCTCAGAAGACAATACGCTCCCCAAGTTGACGGTTGTTCACTCAACCAAACGTGTTTCCCACGGGGTCAGGCGTCCTCTCGCTCTGCCGCCCCCTTGTTCACACAACCCCGCTTCACATACATGAACAACTCCGTCCCTTTTCCCTTACTATCCAAACAGGAGCATTTCATCGCACACATTTAAAGCAATGGTATTTCCTGTCACGTGCACTCTGCACTCTGCACTCTGCACAGCATGACCAGGGACTACAGTATAATCCAATAATAAAACCATGCAACAGTCAAGTACTTTATTGGATATAAACCATTTTAATGTTTTGTTGGAAATGTCATTTTGTGTGTGAGAATAAGGCAATTTGTCTCAGGGGTGAAAACTTTGACTCTTCAGAATGTCAGTCTCTCAGCGGCGATGAAAAGCAGCTTTGTTTCTAAATTCTATACTGAGTTCATCCAAAACTTGAAAACTGCCCAATTATGAGTTAGAAGATTTTGTAGCAGCTGTATAGGTTGTGTATGTGGCTAATGTTTTTAACTCTCTTTCCACTTCACCTAAATCACACAGCTCACACTATTGGTTTTCCTCTTGAATACTTTTGAATCGATCGACCTCTATGGCCAGAGGAAGAATTACCAACTTTAAGCTGTGCAACTAAAGATCTTTGGCTTCTAGAAAAACATTACCTAACATGTGATTTTGTTTGGTACATATGGCCGGATTTCTGGTTATTTCTGTTTTGTTTTTTTCAAACTTAAATAAAAGCTTACTTCTAATAAAGTTAACATTAAACAAATTATTCCAGAAATTTAGTAAAGTAATTTTGCCCATGGAGAACTATGTCATAAGCTCCACATAAACACGCTCTTCTTTACTCTATCGCCATTTTGATTAGACTCTATTCTGTATGGTGTCTACAATTTTACAGTATAGTTCAGTTTACATGCATCTTAAAGTTGTTGTTGTTATTGTTACTTCAATTCAGCACATTACATATAACTGCAGTGCTGCTGCTGTATTTTTAATATCCTCTTTCTGTGCTCTCCACAGGGTCAGCTGTCTCAAGCTCTCAACGGCCTGTCAGACCGAGCCACTGAGGCCAAGGAGTTCCTGGTTCAGCTGAGAAACATGGTGCAGCACATCCAGGTACTTTAACACAAACACATGCAGACAACAACTACTTTACCAACTGCATCCAGCCATAAAATGCCTCCATCCCAGAAATAATGCACTGACTTGTCTTGGCAATTTGTTACCCATCTCTCATCCCCCTCTGTGATCCCAAACTGTCCACCACAGCACGTCACTGTAGTAATCGACAAATACAAGAAGGCTTATCGTACTATTTCACACTGTTCACATTTTGTAATCCCGGGCTTGGAGTATGTTCATTGTCCAGCCACAGTGCTGCACGTGACAGGTGGAAAATGGCACTTTTTTAGAAATCAACATTTACTTCAATTATATTTTGTTGAAATCTGATTTTCCCTCGACTTTAATCAAAGTCACATTTTCAACACATCAGCTGTTAAATTAGAGTCAATTCAATAATGGATGTTTTAGCATGCATTGTGATAAACTCTGAAGTTGAACTAAAATATATTTATGATGACAATTATTTCATTCGTGGACATTGCATCAGACGCAGACTGCCAGGATGTGAAGAACACAGGAAACAACAAAGGCAGTTACATTCAATGAGACTGATGCATCTCTATAGTAACGGCAGAGCATTTCTCTGCTGCTTAACAAAGTTCTTTTAATTGTGTGAGCGAGAATAGTGACTTGAGTAAGGCAATATCGCTCTTTTTACATTCAGTGGTATCACGTGTACTTAGTGTAAGTAAGCACAATAGACCAGGAATAGATTTAGATGCTTGTAACCTTCTGCTCTCTGTGGTGACAAAGCTGCGGTCAGCTTAAGAGGCTGATAAAGAAGGGAGGTGGGATTAAATGCCCTCAGTGATTATTGTGACGCAGTGGGATGATGCTCCACGGAGACCCATCGAGGTGAGTGGGAGCGGGAATTTGGAATGTGTGAAAAGCAGCAATGCGTAATTGTACGTCCGTCACTAAGTCATCCCGTGGTGCTGATGCTTCATGATGATTTTTAGTCACCCACGTTGTATGATGGCGAGCTGCTGGAGGGAACATGTGAATGAAGATGCATTTTTAATCTCATCATCCCGTCGTTTAACTCAGGTTCTTAAAGCAAACATTACATGCTCTTTAAATGTAATCATCTCCATACAAGTCTGTGTTAATCCTGCTATTAAATTGATGTCCATGATTGCCTAAGGGACTCTGCATCACTCATTAATATCGCTTCTGCTTGTTGGTCAACATTAATTAAAAGTTTCTGTATATTTTAACACTTTACTCTGCCAGTATTGTGATTTTCCAGCCTTTATCTGTTGTCTCACAGGAGAATGGAGTGGAGTTTGAGGCCTGTTTGGTGGCGCAGTGCGATGCCCTCATTGATGCCCTGAATCGACGCAAGGCCCAGCTGCTGTCTCGAGTAAACAAAGAGCATGAACACAAACTGAAGGTGAGTGAAATTTACTCATTTAGCTAACACTTTTATCCAAACGACTTACAATTGCTATATATGTCAGAGGTGGCATGCAGAGCAACTAGGGGTTAAGTATCTTGCTCAGGGACAAATTGGTGGTTGTGTTGCAGTGGGAATCAAACCCAGGTCTCCCATAACAAAGGCAGGTGTCTTATCCACTGACAATTGTAAGAATATTTTTAATGAATTAGGTATTTGAGTTGAGTTTGATGTTACAGTAGAAACAGTGGCAACTGGTGGCTTCCATACTGACTCTACTGACTGAACCGAAAGCAGTTGCTGCCTAGAGGGACAGAAATGCATCTCATTATTATATGAGATGCTTCAAAAATGGCTGTCAGTCATGTAAATTGTGTGTTATTTGTAGTTAAATTGGCCAAAATCCACAACTTACATAGACTCATTTGTTTCAAAAGGCATTTTAAATGAGATAAGCTAAAGCTATGTCTGCAGCTGTCCCATTTGAAACATTTTGTCATTACAAGTTTAAGATTCAGCACAGAATTAGTAATATAGACATAAAAATAGAATAAGAACCTTCAAAGATGGACATTTTTTAGCTGTATGCAGTGTTGGTGACAGTAAGATTTAGCAGGGAGATTCAGATTCAGACATGAAATACGATTGGAATTATTTCAGAGATTTAAAGTGGCACAAATGTATTTAAACCATCTGCAACACGGGGGACAAAACTGAGAGATGGCTTCGACATGAGTGCAGGAGGAGGGAGAGATACATTTGTGCAGCATCCAATTTCACGCTTGGACGCTCTGTAGAATCATGGTCTCACATGTGTAGGTGGTTTGAGAAACACAGCTTGCGAGCATGCTCATACTCTCACACATTAACATACATATACACACACACGTTTTCCTTTCCTCTCTCCATATATGAAATATTTAGTTGTGAAGCATTTCAGGGATGGTGCCTCATAAATCACTCACAAATGGAAAAACTAAATAAAATAAAGTCTAAAATAAAATATTATTCTCTACCAAGGAGGAGCTGTTCGGTCATTGGCTGTTCTATACGTAGTTTTCTATAGCAGTGACTCTAAAAGTCCTTGAGGGAGTTATTGGGAGTATTTTCACTACAATTCCTTACATAAGTAATACACTAACAAAATGTATGACTATTTTGGCCATGGGTTTCATACATTTTCTGTAATAAAACATCTAAAAGCAAGGGGTCCTTAATGTGAAAAGGTTTGAGAACCACTGCGGCACCTGAAGGCAGTTAGTATTTCAAATAAATTTGAATAGCTGCTTTTTCTTTGTGTTTTTGAGGTTTGCATTATGTCTTTTAAGGGTTTTGCAATTGCAAAGCTCACATCCTGCTGGAGTCTAAGATGTTTGTGACATTACCAGTCAACCAGAGACTCCAGGAAGTCACTGCTCCTGACCAAGACACAGGGGCAGATAACCCTTTTTGTACTAATTAAACAAACGTGTATAATGTGTTAATTAGTGGGACTTAGAGGTGCTGGTGGGCAAATTTACTTTTAACGGAGCCATGCCAGCTGATTATCCACATTTCTAGTCATCATGCCAAGATAAGCTAACCAGCTGCAGTTGGCGTACAAATATGGGAATGGTGTCAATCTTCTCATCTAACACTCGGAAATAAAGCAAAAAATTGTATTTCCTGACTATTGTCTGTCTATTATAAGCTTTTTCTGGCATTGGACCATCAGAAAATTGTGGCGAAGTGTTAACTGAATGCCTTGTCCATAACTAACTCTTTGATTTGCAAATATTTTTGCACTTCCTTATTTCAAGCCGTTTTAACATTTATCTCTTAAAACTTTACTAGTGACTATTCCCGTTTTGGTAGTAACAATTGATTAGATACTAGTTCTTCATTTTTAGTTACTAATAATTATTCCATAAGTTGCATATTTTTTCCATTGAAATCTATGGGGCTCTGCAGTTCAGATATCATAATCAATTGTTACTGGTAACTAATGGAATAGTTTCTCGTAACTAATAAATAAAGTACTTGTAGCCAGGGTGTGATTTGAAGGGGGGGATTCGTGGGATTTCCCCCTTTCTGGTTTGTATATCGCTGCCTCTGCTGAATAATTTTAAAAATTATCCCCCCCCTCAGAGTGATCAATGCTACGTCACTAGTGATGCAACGGATCACAAAACTCATGGTTTGGATCGATCCGTAGTTTTGTCAGGGTTAAATTTATTTTAAAATATGCTACTTTGTCTCTGAAGCTGCCTCTGTCTCTCTGTAGATAATCCCCACTCTGGAGTCTTGCTCAATGTCCTGCCCATCTGATTGGTTACAAGTCAAGAAAAACAGACTATCAACAGTCATGAGACATCTGTCAAATCGCATTTGCTTGTAGCTTTTAAAAGTGTTAAAACAGCTTGTGAAACTTCTAAGATTTAAATCCAAGTTTAATGCCAAAGACGGAGATGAATCTAACCATACTAATATATTTTTTTAATCCCTCCTTCTGCAAAGTAACCAGGACAGCCCTGGAGGACCAAGGACATACTCTGAACAGTGTGTACCTTTCCCAGAATTTAGCTGGAAATATGCTCAACAAAACTCTCACAGCAGCTGAACAAACTGTAGTTGTTACATTCATTACCTGCAGTGTCACAAATGTCAAATTTACAGCAGCTATTACTTATTTTTGTTGCTTGAAGATGGAACTCACTGTGACAAGTTTACAGCTGCAGCCCCAAACTGCCACTGTTTACACTGTCCACAACTTTTAAAGCCCATAGGTGGCACAGGTTGGACTGGCACTGCATGTTCTGAAACTGCAGCGTCGCAGAGCTGCAGGGCCTAGCTTTGGGTGCCCTTGTGCACGATTAAAATGCAAAATCCGTTTTGTTTATGATTGATGGCCGTTAAGTGATGAATGGATGTTTATCGAGGGGCAGAGAAGCATCGGATGCATTCACACCTTCAAGATGGAGGAATTTTAATGTGCCTCAGTGCAGATCTGATCGCTCAGTGCCTCCATGTGTTGTTCACTGAATCCTAATGCCAGAAAGACACATTTCTCCACAACAGAGCTGATACTCTTTTTTTTGTGTTTTCAGTGTCGGTCTCTCATGTGTATCAGTGCTGCTTGCTTACTCTGCTTCTATAGGAGTTTCCCACAGAGTTTTCTTGTGTTTCTCATTTGCTCCTGGAGGGCAGAGTACCCAACTTTAGGTAGACATCAAAAAGGGGGGGAGGCATCGCTTGTTCACCGGAGTGCACCTCCAGTAATTGTAGCCCCTCTGACATTAGCAGTCAATGGGATGCTTTCTGCTTCATTAGCATGTGGCTCAGTGGCGGAAGTCATCCTGTAGCCGTAATTGAATGAGACAAATTTCTATCTCAGTGCACTCCTGATGGTAACGTAGTAATTTGTGTATTTCCCAGAAGTAGCATCTCAGATAGGATTTATTTTCAGATGAAAAATTGCATTGTTGCATAAAACAAAATGCCAGCTATGCATTTTATACGTGTCCAATTAAGAAACTAATGAAGTGCCCTGATTAACTCTGCAGATTCAGTCGCATGAAAGAAACCATAGAGAGCGTAGAAAACATAAAATCTGTTCATGTCTATTTAAACAGAGGATGGACCAGCTGACTTGGTATCTCCCACGGAGCTACCTGCTGCTCTACTTTGGTCAATCATGCTGATGCCAAAGCCCAGTCGCCATGGTGACTGGGACATGTTGAGTTTGTTGTTTGAAGCCCCGGAGGTGAGAAGTAGTCCTTATATGCATGAGTCAAGTTCTGCAAATCAGGAAGACTGACCAATGTGTTTGTTTCAAGAGACAGCAGAGGCAGAAGGGAGTGTGTCACATTGAGTGGTTATGTTCATTTAGTTTTTATTTAAGTTTTATCTTCCCAAATGCTGGTTTAAAGTCTAATCCACATTATAACAAAATATAATTCGGGGAAGCCAGATGCAAATCTCTTTTCATATTTTAACTTAACTTTATAGTAGAAAACAATCTTAACTTTTTGTAGAAAACAATCAAATAGAAATGTTTTTAGTCTTAAAAAATATCTGTATTAGCCTTTAAACCTTGCTATGTGTAATGCTATGTGTCTAACAGTCAAATATAAAGACATAAAACCGAAGACATGACCTCACTGTCCTCACTTGTAGCTACTACAGCCCTACTGACTGAAAATTTCATACTTTATCTTATACTGGTAGAAATTTTCCAGACAGACAGATTTTCTTCCTTTCGGGCAGCCATTTTTCTGACTTTATGTCAGTAGGATATGTAACTTACAAAGATATAAAAGTTGTTTAATTATTAATCCATCACGGTGAAGTTTCCACATTCTTCTGTTTTTGTTAACAGTTGCTCTGAAAGATTTGGGACTGTGTATTCAGGAGCGAAAGTGTTGGAAGCTTACATCTGACTTTTGGGAACAGAACAGATTTGGATTTAGTCAGAAAATCAAGAACATAATTATAACACTTAGTAAACATGAATGTTATAAAAGGAAAATGTGACTTGCATCATAAAGTTGCCATTTGGCAGCAGACACAGAAGTCTCAGATATCTGAGCTTTCCACAGCACTTACAACAATACACTAACAATAAGAGTCTTTACGGGAATAGTTTTGAGTAGGTTTCTTACCAAGCATTAGGTCAGAATATCAGAGACCACTCTGATGTCTGTTCATATGAAGCTACAGCCAGGAGACAGTTAGCTAAGCTTAGCATCAAGATTGGGAGCAGAGGACAATAACTAGTCTAAGGGGAGATGTGCCGGATAATTCCTTGGCCAGACAGAGTGACTTCCTGGAGTTTCTCTTGGTTGGCTGGCAACCTCACTGTGATAATAAGACTCCTCTCAGTTTTTGGATTACACAAACAAGATAATTAGTTAATTAGTTAGCTTTGGAGATGCTGGTAGGTGTTTTTCAAACTTTGGACAGAGCCAGGATCGCTGTTTCACTAGTCTTTATGCCACGGTAAGCACCAGCATAGTGCT